TGTTCAGTCCAGCATCAGGCTAGCTTAGCTTGTCTTTCTTGCTGTAGTCCAGTCCATTGCATGTGGGGTCTGCAGGGCCATATTACTAAGGAGGAAACATGGGCGAATGTAAGGAAGCAAGAACAAGAGAGCCCCACAAGCCAAGAGCCAAGAGAAAGCCAAGAGTGTGAATTGCTTTGTTTGGGGGATTATGTATCCCCAAATTATCATGGGCTTGCAGTGGCCATACCCATTCTGGCCAGTGATCTTTGTTCCCGGGTTTGACTGATAGGCATCTTCCCAACTGCACTGCGCATGAATCTATCTTCCATTTTTGGACCCCTCCCTGCAGTGATCTGTGGGGACTGGGCCAGTGGTTCCTTTGCAAGTGTGAAGGAAATTGCAGCGTCCTGGTGAAGCTGCCCAAATGACATGCCTATAATGTCGGGCCTTCCCTTTGCTCCTTTCCTATTATTAATAACTACCTAATTACAATAGTATCATTAGGACAAAAGTACACTTTCTGTCTTTCCTGTGTTTTGCATATATTTAATTTAAGCAACTCTGTGGTCACAATGCAGTGATAGAAATAAAATAAGAGCTGCTCAACTCTGAGCATCTATAACTTGGGGAATGAAAGATTACGTGAAGCCAACTGGTGTGTGGTGTGTGTGTGTGTGTGTGTGTGTGTGTGTGTGTGTGTATTTACCAACTCATACCAATGAATTGCATGCACAATGAATGAATTATATTATTTAACTTTGCTATTTATTTCTAGAATTAAACGATGCAATATTTCCTCTTGGGCATTAACATTCTAGAAGATCACACACCATGAATTTAACCACAGGCCGACACCGCAAACCTCCTGACTCTTAGTAAAAGACTTATTCACCTTGGCTGTTTCTAACTGAACTGAGAGAAGATTGGTAACTTGATTTTTTTTTTAAATGTAATATAATCCAAAATTAACTACTCAGCCACGTCTTTGTAGCATGTATTATCATAAAGCCAGGGAGTGAAAGAACGAGTCAGAAGTCTCTGAGTGAGCCTGCAGTCTTGCGAGAGGAAACACTTCAGAGTGTGGGAACTGCTATAATGCAAGAGCATATCAAGAGCATTGGGAGCACAGGATGCACACATGTAGTGACACCAGGAGAATAGTAATGATAAAGACATGTATCTTTAGTTAAACCTTAAAGTACTGGTAAAACTCAACAGACAGATAAGGGGAAAAGGGTAATAATATAAAAGGGAGAAAATAACCTACTTTTAAGAACCTAGGAAATGAGAAAGAGAAAATAAAGGCATAGAAAGCAAATTGGCATCTGGTTTTAGAGACCTTTTTTGTATAGAAAACTGATAGTCCTTATCTGAACTAGACTTGGAAATATTATTCTTATAGGATTGGATTTGAAGGAGTCAATTAGCACTCATCAACCTCGGTTGAGTTTACTGTCACTGAGTATATGCAGGCACCGCTCCAGGTTTATAATTGTACTAGAATAAAATAATCAGTCTTTCTGACTGCATCTTGCTGAGTCTGACATGTCAGTTATTGACTTCTGCTTAGTCTGGCATGTAGATATGCTAATATTAGAGGAATCGAGTCTGTAGCCTAGAAATTACTGAAACAACCTTCCTGCTGGAAACTATCTCCCCAAGGAGGTAAGGAAGGTGATGATGGAGGAGTGAGTCTCTAGTGAGGACTTGAGCCCCAAGCCAAGAGAGTTCTTGGCTTCAGACAGGAAGGAATTCAAGACAAGAGGTTAAAGTGGGAAAGCATTTTATTGAGTAGAGAGGATAAGCAAGAAAAGCCATTCCTCAGACAGAGTGGTGGGCTCTCCTCTGGAGGGAAGGAGGGGAGACCCCAGGCATCTCTAGAGGTTGAGCTTATATGTTTGTAGTGTCTATGGAAGATTGCCAGTATGAGGAAATAGAGAGTGAAAAAAGGTTGAGATTGACTTCAGCCTTCACATGGCATATTCTGTGGCCTGTGTTTTCCCTTTATGGTATGAGTAAACAGTAAGGTAGGCTCTTCATGGTGGCTTGCATCTCCGGTCAGCAAGCTCCATGTCAGGCAATATGTAGCAGCCCCCTGCCTTAGCTTTGACCTCAGCTGATTTGCATACTTTTCATGCCCCTCTCCTATATTAAAGGTATGTGCAAAAATAATGATTGTCTATCAAAAGATTTATAGGGATTTCAGTCTGTGGTCATCAACCATCTCCTGCTCTCAAACCCCTTTGTTCTCCACTTCCCCTGACATAAAAGAAGCCTGAAATCTGTACTTTCTCAAGACAGTTCTTTAAGATACTAGTCCATCATCTTCTCAGCTTGCTGGCTTTCTGAATAAACTCGCTTTCCTTGCCCCAACTCCTTGTTACTAGACTTACTGGCTGTTGTATGGTGAGCAGAACAAGCTTTCACTCAATTATTTATCTAGTTGATACTCATGACAATCCTACAAGGTCATTCCTGTCAGTAAAATGAGATACAAGAACATTAGGTAATTTGTCCAACCTCAGTCAGCTGAAAAGTACCAGTGGTAGGTAGGATTCAACCTAGGTCAAGGCCATACTGTAATCTCGGCTCTTTCTCTCATTGCATGTCTCTCCTGAAGATGAGAATCTGAGATATGGCAAGAGAGTGGGCAGCTGGGAGAACTTCTGGACACCCTCGTTGAACGAACGTGGAGATAAAATGAGGGTGCTGAGTCAAAATGAAATCATGCTGTTAATGAAATTAGGTAGGATAGGAGAAATATGTTTGGAGGGAATAATGACATTGTTTGAGCATGTCGAACTTGACCTTGGCAGGATCGGTTAGGTAGCTTTTGCAAGTATGAACAGAGGCTGTTAGCCAGGCCAGAGCTATCATAATGGGAGTGAGCACAGGCCTCAGGTACAAAATTTAAGGGGGATGGCACACTCACAAAAGTAGTAGTCAAGATCCATAATATTTTAATGTAATATGTTTTTGCAGTATCAAAATTAATGCCCAAAATGATAAACCAAGTATCAACATTTTAAGTAAAGGAAGAGCAGTATTTCCTTTAAGGCCTCAGCCTCAACGTGGTCCCGTGCAACATTATTACCAATTCTGCCTTTATTTGAAAACTTGGTATTTTTAATCATGATTTTTCAAATTAATTTTTATTTTTTTAAATACTACCTCAGAAATTATTTTCTTTTATTTTTATTTCTCCACTTAAAGGAATTTTTCACTAAAAGGAAAGGAATTAAACTGAAACTGAACTTAATTAATAATTCCGATTATCTTAAGTTCAGAGCACCAGTTCTCATATTTTTCCCTAGAGAAAGCAAGAGAAAAAATGATTTCCACTTTGCAGATAAGAAAACCAAGACATACAATGGCTCAGTGACAAACTAAACTTCTTGGTACTGCATTTGACACACTAGATCAGAAGCCTCTCTAGAAACGAGCTGAAGAAAATAAAAATATCATATATACTTATGTGAACAAATCTTGGCCAAATAATTTGGATTGAAAGAATAAGTTTCTGCAAACAGCATGTGCTTTTGCATTAGACACAGTGGGCTTGAATTCCTCTTTAACCACTCGCCAGCCGGGTGACCTCTGACAAGTTCCAAAGCCTCAGTTTCCTCATCTGTAAAATGAGCCTCACTCAGCTGCCTTTCACAGTCTGGGTTAGGAGAGAAAAGGAGCCGGTAGCTAATGACATTGATCAACCAGATCCTCCATTTGTAACATAACACACACAAAGCAGGAAGATTCCAGACTTTTTTCCGTCAGGTGAAATACAGATAAACTTTATTGTACATCTTGTACTTCTGATTTTTTTTTTTTTTAACCATTGTTATGTAATATCTATTAAAAACTACTAAGGGGCCCTGGACGGTTTGGCTCAGCGTTAGAAAGTCCAAAGGCAGACCAATGAGTCACGGGTTCGATTTCAGCCAAGGGCACATGCCTCAGTTGCGGTTAGACCCGGCCCTGGTTGGTGTTGTGCAGGAGGCAACCAGTGGATGTGCCTCTGTCACGTTGATGTTTCTCTCTTTCTCTCTCCCACTCTATAAGATAAATGGAAAAATAGCCTCGGGTGAGGATTTAAATAAAATAAAATAAAAACTACTAAGGAAATAACTGAACTATATATTATTAGTGACTTTCAGAAACTCTTGTTTGGGAAATTAGGAAATGTACATGCATAAAAATCATCTTTCTTACTCTACATGAGGAGCGATTTTTTTTTTTTTTTTTTTACAACTGTAAATAACAGTAAACTCCATTTCAGCTGCGGTTAAATCAATGCAAAATACAGAGTGAACCGCCATCTATATTTTACAGTGCTTTGCCCATGCTGGAAAAGCAAAAACCGTAGGGAAAATAATGAGAAAGTTGACCAGGTAACAGGTAACTCACAAGGTCAAACATAATATCATAGCACCAACAGCCTAGCCTGAGAACACCCCAGGAGGACCACTGCTGTCGTTTTCATCAACTGTCTCCACCAAAAGGAGGCAGGTGGCGAGCAGTTTAACCCCAAATCCTGAACCACAGGGATCACAGGGCTCCGTCTCCCGGGTAAAATCGCCAATCTTCCAGGTTTTCATCCTTCCCAAGAAACCTGACGTGCTCTTTTTCAAGGCATATCGAACTGGGAAGATCAAGACAGAAATTTCAGCCATCAAGAATGGAGCGAGTGACCAATGAAATGATGGTGATGATCAGGATGACTGTTACCTGGACAGCCAATTTTTTCAAAACGACGTGCTGTTATTGTTAATCTCCGTCTGTTGGCGCGGGGAAACGTCCCAACTTGGAGGAAGCATTTCCAGGAGTTTCTATAAATTCCCTCTGGACCTCAAGATTTCTGAGACTCTGATTTCCCTCCTCCCCTGGCGAAAGGCGTGGGAGTCGGTTGTACGCGCTGTGCTCCGGCTGGGCAGGGATCAGCGCCAAGCTCGCAACTCCGGCCTGGGGACTTAGCCCCTCCCGTTTTGGGGCCCCGCCTCCGCGCAGGGAGAACCCTATATAGTCGCCGAGAACAGGGTCCCTACAGTCGATCTCGGTTCAGTCCGACCCCAAGATCAACGAACGAGGTCCTGCGCCCCCTTTCCTGAGCATCGTGTGCCAGAGTCATGGCCCAGGAGCTGTACCACAAGGAGTTCGCCCGGGCGGGCAAGAAGGCAGGGCTGCAGGTCTGGAGGATCGAGAACCTGGAGCTGGTGCCGGTGCCCCAGAGCGCTTACGGCGACTTCTACGTCGGGGATGCCTACCTGGTGCTGCACACGAGCAAAGCGTGCCGGGGCTTCACCTATCGTCTGCACTTCTGGCTAGGTAAGGGCAGCGGGCACCGGGACCTGCACGCGCCCGCCTCGGGAGCGGCGAGTCCACGGGGAGCCGAGATTTGCCTGCTGGGGGGAAGGAAGGCGCCAACGGGGATGACCTGGAGACCTGGCCACTAGGTGCCAATCGCGTCCCCACGGGGCCGCGCCTTTGGGGCTGGCCACCTCCCAGCCAGAGTCCGTAGCTGCAAACGCCCGGCGCAGCGAAGTCAGGAGCAGTCTTATCCCACTGACTTTGACCTTTGCCGTGTCCATCACCCGGGTTTTAGGGCCGGTTCCTGTCTTTCACCTTCCAGTTCCAAACCCCACTCCCTGCCAGAGCCGCTGCTCCGCGCACCCTGGCGCTGGCCAAGTCCCGCTCACCTGCGAGCAAGTTCGGTCCTGGTGTCCCTGGCAGGGAGGAGATGAAGTCAAACAAGTCTGTAGGCATCCGCCACAGCTGGCGAGAAGTTATTTTTGTTGTTGTTAATTAATCCCCCTCCTCCCCCCCTTGCGTATCAGCTTGCATTTCTCTACTAATTGCAGTGATTAATGTCTGGCTGCTTTATGTCAGGATCCCACCTGCACCACGCGGCTGGCAGGTGTGACTAACATTCCTGTTTATTAAGATGCTGGCTACCTTGGATAGAAACAGGAAACAAATAAAGCATATATTATTAATATAAATAAATGGTGTATATAGCCTATTTGTGTATTTAAATGAACTACTTTATTGCAGTTATTTTAAAATTTGTATTTATCTATCTGAACAAGGACACTGGAACAAAACGGCTCCTTCAGCCATAATTATTTTGGGCTGCACTCACGCCAGACTCTCAGGACACTGGGCCTTGTGTGTTCTACTTTTTCCACCTTCTACTTTTACTCGTAAACATCCTGAATGTCCAGCCTCTCCCTGTGAGATCCTGGCCAGTGGGCACACCCCATCGAACAACGTGCCGATTATCTGAGCCTCATTGACTTCTTTTAAAACTAGTTTGCCTCCCTTGGACTTGTGTTTCTTATTTTTAGTTTATTCCTGAGCTTATGGGAAAACCACACACACACACACATACATACTTTGAAACCCTGAAAGCCATTATTTTTACTTCTAACATTTGAAGACTTTAAGAAAGAAAACATTGAGAAGTGATATTCTCAATGTTAGTCAACACTTGGAGCAGATACCCAAATGACAAATGCATGGAGGGAGAAAGGACTATTTTCATTGTAGCATTTGATATTAACATGTGCTTGCTTGAGGATGTTGAGACTGAGTTCCAAACTCATTCTGATTCCCCATTGTAATGACACTATTCCTCATAGACAGTGGTCTGTTTATATTTTATAATCCCCCCTCCCCCCAAAAAAACCACTGAAAACATAATATATAACCATGTTCATGAATGAATGATGCCAGATAGAATAATAATGTCCTCACCTTGGTCTTTCTATCCAGAACTTGGATTTGGAATGAATAAAAGTGTCTGAAATGCTATATTTGCCATTTTGGTGAATTGAAATGTAAAAGAATTTCATATTATGCTGTAGACAACAGTTTAACATTGTAATCAGATTACAAGAAGTCTTTGAATACAGTTTTTTTGTTTGTTTCAATTCTGTAGGTTCCTTCTTACCCATAGAAGTTCTTGAAGCACTATTTTTCTAAGGTTTACACAGAATGAATCATTATTATTATTTTTTTTATCCTCAACCAAGGACATTTTTGCATTTATCTTTAGATAGAGAGGGAGGGTGAGAGGGAGGAAGACAGAGAGAAACATCAATGTGAAAGAGACATATCGACTGGTCACCACCCACACAACCCCAGCTGGGGCCGAGGACAAACTGCAACCGAGGTACATGCCCTTAGCAGGAACTGAACCTGGGTCTCTCTGGACCGGGAGCTGACGCTCTAATTGCTGAGCCAAACCGGCCAGGGCACAGAATCATTATTAATTATGAAGTCTTAATTATTCAGTGCTCACCAAGTTTTAAAAAACATAATAGAAAATGCTTTGTGAAGAAACATTTTATGATCTTAAAGATCTGCTAAAATTGAAGTTAATAGTTATTGTCTTGCCCAGCTGGTATGGCTCACCATGCCCCAGGAGGTCATCAGTTTGATTTCCAGTCAGGACACATGCCCAGGTTGTGGGCCTGATCCCCAGTGGGGGGCATGCAGGAGGTGGCCAATTGATGTTCTCTCTCATCGATGTTTCTATCTCTCCCTCTCCCTTCCTCTCTCTAAAATCGATAAAGAAAAAATAAAGGTTAATTTCTTCAGTAATTATTCAACGTGCCCAGCGTTGTATACGGCATTTTTGCAAATGAATTATTTATGAACCTTCCCTGAACATTTATCTTCTCAAAGGTGCAATAAGACAAAACATGATATAAGACAGGTAAAATGTGATAAGCACTGTGAAAGAGACACTCAGTGTCTGTGGTCTGGGAGAAGCAGAGAAGCCTTGACAGAAAAAAAGGAAAATAATTGGAAGGCATCTTGTGTCAAGAGAAGATCATGGGGAACATGGAAAAGTTTAGAGTAAAATAGTCCACAGCCTTTTAGATGGAATTGTTCGGCAGCTCTTCCTACTTCTGTTCCCTGAAGCAGGTTAGATTTCATCTGCTCAGACCTAAATTTGGATGAACTCATGAGGATTAATAAGACAGATTGGGAGAAAGGTCCAAAAGGAAGGGCGAAAGTTCAAGGAAAAATAAAGTTTGACTGAAGGAAGGAAGGTGAAAGAGAGTGAAGTTAAAATCAGGTAGGGATGAAAAGGTGATCAGGGTAGAAATGAAGAAACAGGCCAAGAAAGGGAAAAACGGAAGAAGTGGGACACCAAATAGGAGAACAGAGAGTCATCTTTCCTGGTCTCTCCCGCGGTGTCTTTCTCTAACACCCGTGCATGTCTCAGATTATTTCATTTTGCTATTTTTCTTTTCATTTACAAAATAAGAATTTATTGCAGATGACTGAAACTGTTGCACTGGTTTTTTTCTAAACATTTCAGCTTTGTACCTAATGGTTTAAATGCATCCACCTTCTGCTTCTGGTTACTTATAGCATCATGTTTATGAACAGGGCTAGATGATAAAGCTCCTGTTACACCCCAGACCTATGCTACAAACACCCACCCTCACCATTTCTCCATGCCATTTTTAACTCTACATAAATATAGTTGAGAACAACAAACATTTATGCTGTAATTGTATTATGTTCTATACAAGGCACTGGGAATCCAAACAATTGGATTACAACAGACAACTACAATACAGGGAAGTTATACAAGGACTGGTGAGGATGCCGAGAGACTGGATTTTGCTTAGTGGGGATATAAAATGGGGAGTATGATTATTATAGTTGGGCAGTTTCTTACAAAACTAAGCATGCAATACCATAAGACCGAACAATTGCATTCATGGACATTTATTCCAGAGAAATGAAAATAGATATTCATGTACAAACCTATACATGATGTCCGTAGCAGCTTCATTTGCAGAGATGAAAACTTGAATCAGTTCTGATATCCTTCAACAGGTGACTGGTTAAACAAATTGTGGCACATCAATACTAAGGAATACTACTCAGTGATAAAAAGGAAGAGAAAAAAACTTTTGATACACACAGCAACTCGGATAAATGCTCAGGCAATTATGCTGAGTAAGAACAAAAAACTAATGCTAAAAGACAATATACTGTATGATTTTATTTATATGCCTTTTTTGAAATGACAAAATTTTGGATTTGTTGCTCTAAGAGGTTAGGGTTGGGTGGGGTCAGGGTGATGCAGGAGGGAGATGGGTGTAGTTATAAAAGGGCAACATAAGAAACATTTTGGTGATGCAATTATTCAATATTTTAACTATGATGGTGGATATACATATGTGATAAAATGATATAGAATCAAAGTACAAACACAGATGGGTACAAGTGAAATTGGGGAAATATGAAAAAATAAGTGTCATGAATCACTGTCAAATCCTGATTGTGGTATTCTGTGCTATAGTGTACTTATATACTTGTATTTCAGTATACTGTGATATACTAACTATGCTATAGTTTTACAAAATGTTACCATTGGAAGAAACATACTGATCTGTGTCTATCTGTCCACCAATACCACACTGCCTTAATTACTGTAGCTCTGCAGTAGACAGTATCAGATTGAGTTATTTTTCCCAGCTTAGTTTTCTTTGTCAAGATTGTTTAGCTATTCTAGGGCCTATGCATTTCATATATTTTTTTAAATAAACTCATATAATCTATAGTAAACCTTACTGTGATTTTGCTAGGAATATCATTAAGCCTACAGATCAATTTTGGGGGAAATTGACATCTTTATTATATGGAGTCTTATAGTGCATGACACTATGTCTTTATATTTATTTATTAAGGTCTTTGTTTCTTTTTATCACAACTTTGTGCTTTTTAGCACATAGATCATCTACTTGTTTTGTTAAATATACATCTTAGTTTTTTGTTTTTTTTTTCGGGGGGAGTGTACGTGCCCCTAGCGGGAACCGAGCCCAGGACTCTCTAGTCTGCAGGATGACGCTCCAACCGCTGAGCCAAACTGGCCAGGGCTATATCTTAGTTTTATTGGAGTGATTGTAAATGTCATGGTGCTTTTAATTAAAAATTTTTTTAAATCCTCACCCATGTATCTTCAGATAGAGTGGGAGGGAGAGAGGGAGGAAGAAAGAGAGAGAAACATCCACGTGAGAGAGACACATCAACTGGTTGCCACCCACACAACTCCAACTGGGGCCGGGGACAAACTACAACGAAGGTATATGTCCTTAGCGGGAACCGAACCCAGGTCTCTGGTCCACGGGCTGACGCTCTAATTACTGAGCCAAACTGGCCAGGGCTAATTTCAATTTTTTTTTATGTTCATGATTTTTACATAAAAATGAGACTGCCTTTTGTTATCAATTAATTATCTTGCTATCTTGAACACATTAATTCTGGTAGGTTTTATTTTTTTGTTTATTTTGTAGATTCCTTAGAATTTTCTATGTAGACGATCCTCTCATTTCTAAATAGAAACATTTATTTCTTCTTTTCCAGTCTGTATGCTTTACTCTTTCTACCTCATTGCAGTGGTTAGAAATTCTTGTGTAATATTGAGTAAAAGTAATGAGAGTAGAAATGTCATTTGTTCCCAGTCTTAGGTAAGGTATTCAGTCTTTCACCATTCAGAATTATATTAGCTGTATGCTTTTTGTTGAACCTATTTATCAAGTTGAGGATGTTCCCTTGTTCCTAACTTAGCAAAAGTTCTTTTTTTTTTTTATTCTCACCTGAGGACATTTTTTGCATTCATCCTGAGAGAGAGAGGAGGGAGAGAGAAAGAGAGAGAGAGGGAGAAATAGAAACATCAACATGTGAGAGACATATCGAGTGGTCGCCACCCACACAACCCCAACCAGAGCCGGGGACAAACCGCAACCGAGGTACATGCCCTTAGCGGGAACCGAACCCGGGCCTCTCTGGTCCACAGGCTGATGCTTCAACTTCTGAACCAAACCGGCCAGGGCCCTTTTTTAAAATCATGAATGGCCATTTGATTAACCTTGTTATTAAACCTCCCTTTTAATCTATGTTTTTTTCTTAATTTTTTTTTTTTATTGATTTTTAGAGAGAGAAAGGGAGAGGGAGAGAGAGGGAGAGATAGAAACATCGATGAGAGAGAACATTGATTGGCTGCCTCCTGCATGCCCCTGGGGACTTGGCTCACAACCTGGGCATGTGCCCTGACCAGGAGTCCAACCAGCAACCTCTTGGTGTATGAGTTGACACTCAACCACTGAGCCATACCAGCTGGGCTAATTTATGTTTTACATATAAAGTCACATCCCTAAAACAATTTTAGGAAGTTTACAGCATATATACAATAATGTAACAATATAAAACAACAGCACAAAACAATCATAAATTCTGACTACTTGCTAGGATTTGATCGTGTAGATACAACTGAATTTGATTCTGGTTTTCACATTCAAAGACTACTTTTGGCTTCATTAAAGATCTTCCAAGCTCTTTAGAGCAAGGCCTCTGACTTATTTATACTGGTATTTCCTGGCCTAGCAGAGTACATGAAATCAAGTGATAGTATACTTTAATGAACTTTCTTCCCATCCATTCATTAATTGCATGCCTGTCCATTTACTTCTAGCTAAAGAGACTCAGGTTTCAACTTGTACTCAAGTGAGAATGTTTAAGTCAAAACATCATCCTTAATGGCTTGGTATTAACCTTGATTGAAGTTTTCCTTTTAAAGCATCACTGTACAAATCTACCTGTATGACTCTATTAGTATTCTCATTTATGGATGGGAAAGCGAGCTTAAGGAGTCCTTTGGGACTGCAAAATACTTGTGTGTTTTTTTATGTGTGTTACATAATTTTCTTTGACCACAACAAGTGCACACAATTTGCCATGACACTCTTCTAGCTACTGAATTTTTGCCGAGGAGATACTTGCAACACAGGTCCCCTTTGAAAGTAAGAGGAAATGTAAAGAAATCCAATCCAATTCTTTCTTCAGTATCACTGACTGAGTTCCTTTCTGCAACTTTAGTGTATGTCCTTAACTGGGGTTTCAGGTGAACTATAGTATTGCTGCAGCTTCTAAACTTTTATGCATCAGTTATTCATGAAGGAAAATGACATACCCTTATTACCACAAAACTGTACTGCTAATGAGAGTCTGGGTATAAAAAAATCTAATATTGGAGTTTCTAAGAGGCTGTGCTTCAGAGCCATGGAAAGCTGGCTGTGGGTGGTATTCTCCCAAAGGTCAACTTGACGACCTCAGGGAAGGTCCTTGGCATCACTCAGCCTCCCATTCCTCTGTTGTGATGTGGTAGAACATCGTTTCTGCTTCAAGGGGTTGCTTAAAAATTAACTGAGATCATCCATATAAAATGCTAACACAGTGGCCCATAGCCAAGGTATTATAAATGTATAAATGTTAGCTATTACCATCTCTACAATTATTTATGACTGTCCCACAGCTCAGATCTAGTAAGTGGTTTGGAGTGTCTTTTATAACATTTGAGTTCCCCTCAGGACTGTCCTGGCTCTGGATTTTATGTACGTGAGGACGCTGGTTCTTAAGAATTGGTGTTTCTACCTCAGTGAGGTTGCCTGGATGGGATCTGAATCACAACCGTAAAAATTAAATGTGTTTGATGTTACATTCCTGGGATAGCAATGCATACATTAACATTCAAGAGGTGTTAGTGTGTGTGTTCCTTCATTCGCCCTTTTCCTTCAGAGAATATTATACCATTAGGATAGTGAAGTGGGGTCAGTGGGACTCAAAAATAAGGGTAAGGTCAAGTTGCCATCATTTCAATTCTAACAACCACTTTTCTTTCTGAAGTTGTTTAGCTCTGACCTATGCTGTTCACATTCCTTACAGATACAAACATATTGACATATTGGATGCCTAAAATAATTGCAAACTGTTTTCGTAACCTGATCTTACTGACCAACTACATCTGAACCCTCCTAGAATATACGGTTATGTCTTCCTGAGCATCTTCAGGCAGTGGTGTTTGTTTTTTAATTTTAAAAAGAAATGGAAAGCCAGAACAAAACAGTTCTTTTGGTTATTAGCAGCAGCATATTTTCCATCACACCATTTCTGCTAAAAGATTGTCCCGTTGAAGATGATTTACTGTGCTGATATGTAGTTCAAAGAAAATTTCTGAGTTTCTGTTTGCTTTTTAATGTCAGAAACTCGGCCGTAAGTCTTTGCCTTGCTTGTCAATGGGGCGCTGTCATTGGCTGTTGCAGGAAAGGAGTGTTCCCAGGATGAGAGTACGGCTGCTGCCATCTTCACCGTGCAGATGGATGACTATCTGGGCGGCAAACCAGTGCAGAGCAGGGAGCTCCAAGGCTACGAGTCGACCGATTTTGTTCGCTATTTCAAAGGAGGTCTGAAATACAAGGTGAGCAGCTCTCTGTTTCTGTTCTGACCCCCTTCCTCTTTCTTATCCTTCCACACCTCATGTCTTCCCAGAGTGCAAGTACATCAAGGGCAGAGTTTTGCATTTTGTTTTTGGTTAATCTGTTTTGTTCCCTGATGTATCACCAGGACCTGCTGGACACATAGTAAATGGACAAATGTGAACTATTCTGATTTTAGGTCACTTAATAGGTTGATTTTTAATACAGTCCAGAGCTTTCAGTTATGTTGTCACAAGGAATTATTGAAGTAAAATTACTTCAATAATTAAATATTGGTAAATTGGATATTAAAGAGTTTTTGATTTTCTGGAGAATCTCTGAATTTGCTGCAAATAACCCATGACATGGGAATCTCAATTGTTCTAGAATATCTTAACACAGTATTTATAACAATTATAACTTCAGTTAATGCAAAGAACTACATACATGTTTCTGTACAGTGTGGTTTGACCTTGGAAATCATACACGTGAAACCATTGACTGAACATGTGCTTCTGCCCCACAAATTCAAATGCACATACACACAGTACACACAGTCTGTGCATATTGGCCTGAAACAGTCATCATCAAATAGTTTTATTTTCTTTAATTAAAGTAAAACAAAGACAAAGTGTTAAGTTGTCTGTCCTTATAAGGCCATTGTCAGTAACAGCTAGATTTTGGGGGGAAACCTCCCAGTGACCTTTGCAAACTCGCCATCCTTCACCATCCCCATTCCCCAGAAGTGTTCAGATAAAGTGTGAGGAATACCCTCCCTCGACAAACATTTTAGAAACAATCCTTTTCAAAATCAAACATGCTCCAATAGGTGCTCTGCAGACCCCATCTCTCCTCTCAAGAATATTTGCCTAGTGAAGCTCTAAGACCTCAGAGCTAAACTGGAATTCTGAATGTATACTAAGTTTGCCCACGACGGTGCCAGGGTTTATTTTTACTCTTACCTGATCAGAGACTTAGTTGAATAATTTGTGATGCCATGAAGATCAGGCAAAACCCAAGTTCTCATATCTCTCTCAAAATCATTTTTTCACTCTAAGATATCAACCACCCTAAATATGGAACTATTACCTCTCATTTGATTTAATTCACATGAATTTCTACAGTTTATGTCAAATGATCCTTTATGTCAGTGAAACCAACATTTTGAAAAAGTTGTGTCTTATAGTTACTAAAAGCATGTGCTATCCCATCATACTGGTTATGAACCCATTTTGGCCACATAGTACTGGTTTGCCTCAGGGTAAGTATGTAAGCTTTCTGTGCTCAGTTTTCTCAGATGTGCAATGGGTATAACAACAGCTTTCTCATATAAGTGTTGTAAGGATTAAGGATTAAATTCAAAAATAAAATGCCTATATAGTATAGACACAATCACGTAGGAATGTATGTTATTAACTTTTCTGGTTATTTGCAGGACTTCTGAAATCAAACTTCTGAGTACATATTTAAAAGTGGGCATAATAAAAGTAATTTTACAATTATTAGGTAATTGTATTCTAATTATCAATATTAAAACCACTATGAATCAGCACTTTTTTTAGAAAAAGGATATTTGCAAACAGAGATCAAATTTATCAGCAAAATAATCCGTTCACTGTCTTATCACTAGTGTGTTGCAGTTGCAACAATACTTGATAGGAAATGTAGAAGCAGAGATAATTTACCACCCAGAATAGCAAAGACTATTATGTTATACTTAGTTTTATACTTAAAGCAATGTGCTAAGCACTTCATGAACATTATCCCATTTAATCTAAACAACAGCCTGTGGTGCGGTTTCTATCATTATCATCCCATTAAAATCAGTATAAACAGAAGCGTAGAGAGACCATGTAACTTGCCAAGGCCTGATAGCTAGTATGGGAGTGTGGGTGACCATCTAACTCCAGTGCCTAAGCTGGTGACCATCATACTGGGACACTCTCAATACAAATAAATGGTTAAAATGTCAGCACAAAACTTTTTATGTCTGTTTGAAATAGGGAAAACTTGACAAAGCTTGCAGTTACTAAGTCAGCAACAACCGTATTAGTTGTTCTATGTCATGTCAAGATTCGGCTAGGAAACATGAAGACGGTCTTCTTCTCATGTCATTTCATTGACTTGAGGTTTGTCCTCCGTGAGGTGTTTTAGGAGGTAGAGGACTATTACTTACCACTGCTCCCTCATATTAAATCTCCAGTTAATCACACTTTTCCCAAACTCAAAAGTCCCAGCCCTCAGCCATGATTGTCAGTAGCAGCTACCTGCTATCTGTCAGCCAGGAAAGGTGTACTAATGGTGCCATAGGTTTACAGGATCTTGTTGAATAAAACATCCCCCTTGGTTTCATTCTGTGGAAGAGAGAGAAAGAGGCCGGGAATCCTAGGGTTGTTTCAAACAGAATTCGCAGAACTGCTTACCGTCTGATGGAAAGCTAGGTAAAACTTAGTTTTTCTTTTATGCGTTTTTGGCATCAAATGCTAGAGACAAAATTTGTTTTTAAAATACTGTTAAATGTTCAAAGATTATAAGCATTCTGATGGTTCACCATATGAAATTAGCCTAAATGTTGTATAGGTATCCTCAGTCTAGTCTATATTTTATAACATATTTCAGATTGCAGTGTTCTTATACTATTTTTTTATTAGATCACAAAGTACTTACTGAAAAAAATGGAAATGGCCAAGAACAGTATATATAGGATGAAAACTTACATTTATTTAGTTGGATTATTTTATATGTTTCATATACTTTTAATTGTTTGTACCATATTATCATAGGAGGCCTTTGGGCAATAAAAGAGATCTGTTTGCACTGTATCTTTATTATACATTTGGCTCATAATTAGTTGTATAGTAATAAAATATGATTTTTTTTCTAACATTTAATTAGGAAAAAAATGTAAAGCTAAAAACTAATTTTAAATAATGCAACAAGATGTACTTGATACAGTCAATATTTTTTCAGCATTTCTTAATTTTATTTTGTTTCGTTTTGGGTTTGGGATGTACAACTAAGATACTTCATCTCTCTTGTGTCAACTATAACTGCCTTGGCCTGGCATATTTAGTAAACTCTTTTTACTAAAAAAGAAATGCATAATACAGGTGACTTTTTTAAATGTATAAACAAGGACCATACATGGAAGGAGTCCATACCTGGCCAGCACTTAACTCCCCCCCTCTCTCCTAACGCTGTGACAGTGGGCACTTTGGGGTACCTCATTCTCTGGGTGCTCCTCATCTGTATTTGTTACCTTTGACTCTCCTCCAACTTCCTGTTGCTTTTTTTCTTGAAATTCTTGTCTACCTTCTCACACCACGACTGGAGAATAATTAGTTCCCAGAGGACAAGAGCTACAGCCTTTTTTTTATGTAGCAGATTTTATACACTGACAGTTCTCAGTAAAAACTTGCAGTATTAAATTGAGTGTTGAAATGGGGAAGACAGAGCCTAAAAACTTTTTGAAAAACCTGTTGATTTGCCAAGGAATTCTCTCCTTCCTATTTAATTTTCCCCATGCACCCAGGAGGCTTTCTCTTGGCTTGGCAGGCCGTTCTGGCGCACACACCTGTGGTTTATACATGGCTGTGTCTAGTTAGAAGCCTCATCTGTTTTGTTTTGTTTTCTGTCCCCTCTCACTGATCAGGCTGGAGGTGTGGCATCTGGACTAAATCATGTTCTCACCAATGACCTGACCGCCCGGAGGCTCCTGCACGTCAAGGGTCGTAGAGTGGTCAGGGCTACAGAAGTTCCCCTGAGCTGGGACAGTTTCAACATGGGTGACTGCTTCATCATTGACCTTGGCACCGTAAGTGTTATATGCATGTGTAGACTTGAAAAGGAAAGTAAGTTGCCTTCAGATCAAATCTGATGTTCATGTCATGAAACATAATCACTTTTTCTACACACTGAAAAGAGGTCATGTTTATGTGAGACGCAGGTGTATCATATGAGTCATTGGCTAGTATTGAAATGTCACAAAGTGGGACTTCAAAGTTTTTATTTTCTTTGAAAGGTTTAGAATGGCATAGTGATTTAGTTCTTCCTACCATAGAACAGAAATTGAATAATTTGTAATATATTTCCCCTTCTCTCTGAACAGAGTTTCCTCTAATTATTTTTGTCTCTAATTGTGTGTAGGAAAACATTGCTTAAGGGGAAAAATTGATTCCCCCAGGGATAAAAAGTTTCAGAATTTTAAGCAGATACAGTATGAGTCTAAGCAGCCTGCCCAAAGAGTTTTGGGCAATGTCCCTTACACACACACACACACACACACACACACATGCACCATACTACCTCACACTTTTTAATTATTTTAGGATTATTAGAAGAAGAGGCACAAGTACAAATATCAAGTATCATCTATGTCCTTTTTGATCTTGAGCAAGTCATTAACCTCTTCTAGCCTTAATTTCCTTGTTCATTTTTTCATCTTGACTCTGATTTCTAATGTCATTTTTAACTAGTTGGCTATGATTCAGGCTTGTCTGACACATAGTCACTTATGGGGATAGCAGCTATCATCCCACTTTTGCAAGAAGAAAATCAGCCTGAGAGGGTGGGAGCAAGTCACTTGCATCAGTACAGGTTGAGCAGTGACCTGGGCTAGGGTCTGGGTTGTTTATACCTCCCACATGTCTTTGCCCTCACTGCGTGAATGTGGTAGGGTATCTCGTAAGAGCTTCTGAATCTGCTGAATTTAGAATAGAATAGGTCTAATCTGGCTTAGAAGTCACTGAAAATAGTACTATGGATGAAATTATTCATTTTGTTGAAAAAAATACTTTTTTAACAATGATTTTATTTTTTATTTTAATTTATTTTTTGTTAATCCTTATCCAAGGTTATTTTTCCATTGATTTTTACAGAGTAGAAGGGAGGAAGTGAGGGAGGGAAGAAGGGGGAGAGAGAGAAAGAGAGAGAGAGAGAGAGAGACATAGACGAATCGATTGGTTTGATTGCCTCCTGCCCAGCCCCAGTGGGCTGGGGATAGAACATACAACCTAGATACGTGCCCTTGACCGGGAATTGAACCCGGTCCGAGGGCCTCTGCTCTAACTGCTGAGCCAAACTGGCCAGGGCTTGCTGAACAAGTATTAACTGAGTGTCCTCAGTGGGCTAATAGTTGGGTACTGTGGTAGATTGTTGTTCTAGTAACACATGGTCTCTTCCCATCGATGAGGCCTGCCCATGGGAGTATGACCCACACATCAAGGCTCATAAAAGAAGGACAAAGTCTCTAGTATAAGGTTCAAGGAACTTCATCTATTTAGTAGTAAATTATCTTTATTTTATATAGTTAATTATCCTTAACAACTTTCAAGTTGTCACCTGCTCTCGTGCCTGGTTAGAGACATGTGGAATGAATTTGTTGCAGAGATACTTGAGTTTGATGATCTCTTCTGTTGTGGAAGTTTCTTAAAGGGATAACGCAGTAGGACGCAAGCACTGGATTCCTAAGTACAATGGAACAAATACCCACATGATCTGTGTTTGTTATCTAACCTTTAACCAGTTGGTATGTGGCCAAAAGTAACTAAATGGTGATAAAATCTTGGAGTTACCTTAGAGACTTTATTTTCTGGGTGTGTCAGAGTAAACAAAGAAGTATTGAACCAAAATTTTCTTTACCATAACATTTTAATTTGAATTATTTTGTGACCACTTTCTGCATTAGACAGCACGAAAGGAAACTCGTGCAGTTTCTTCATTTGTTTACCCAGGTATGAAAACAGTATAGACATTCAAAGCTGTCTCCCAGCTAAAGCCACCTGGCCAACACAAAGGTTATAGATATATCCTACCTCCTATATCTTGATTGAGTTTGAGAGAATTCAGCTTTCTTGATAAATAATCACTATTATTAATATCATGTGCTGTATACCTTAAAGACATTTACTGTGATAGGATTTTAGATGACAGTAAAAACCCCCTAGATGTGACAATGTAACGTCCTCAACTTAAAGCATGAGATTGCAAAATTATCTGTTTAACCACTTTGAAAATTCTGAAAATTGTCAACATTTTAGAGGATGATTTGGATAGGTTGTCTTATATTTAGTGTATTTTCAGAAAATAATATGGAACATGGCTAGATCCCAGCAGTTTGAAATTCACTGAATCTTTGAAAAATACTTTTGAACCATATATTTTGATATTGGTGAATCTATACATCATTATTTTCCCACTATTTTTAAAGATATAAGGTATTTGTAGATATTAAGTAATAAAATCACATATAAACCTATTGCAACAAAACATCCATAACTACAGAATGTGAAAAAAGCCCACATTCTCAAAGTTTGGTATCTGGAGTTGACTCCTTTGGAACTATGTGTCCAAGCCAGCCACTAATGGAGAATTCGATCCCCCGGAGCGGTGAGTCTGCGTGTCCTGCTTTCTTGTTAACTTGTTTGGTCAGTTATGCAGCTTTGCCCTAACCCCCTTGCTATTTATAATCCATCACCCCTCTCTCATTGTTCAGTCATGCGGCTTTGGAAAAGCAGTCCACAGTTCCTCATTTATCAGCTGATTTCCAGCACACATTTTCTGACTTTCCCTCCCACTGTTTCTTTGAAACTGTTCTTCCTGCAGCCATAGTGCCTTCTGCTAAATCCAGTGGATATTTTGCTCATTATCCCTCGTTCCCTGTGCTGCATTTGAGACACTTGATTACTCCCTTCTCCATCAGCCTCACTCTTTCCCTGGGTCCCAGTTTCCCCTCCCTTTTAGTCCACTCTTTTTTTTTTTTAACATTTTAAAAGATTTTTTTCCCCTTTGTTGACTTTTTTTTTTCTCAGAGAGAGAGGAAGGGTGGGAGAGAGAGAGAGATAGACCATCGATTGGCCTCCTCCTGCATGCCCCCTACTGGGGATCAGGCCCACAACCTGGGCACGTGCCCTGACCAGGAATCGAACCTGGTGACCTCTTGGTGCATGGGCCGACGCTCAACCACTGAGCCACACCAGCTGGACTCAGTCCACTTGTTCTTCTTCTGAACATGGTCTTCTCATCCCCTCAAGTTGTTTTGTTTGTTTTTGTTTTTTAAGGATTCTACTTTGGATCATTGCCTTATTTATACATTCTTCCCGAGCAAACTCACCTTCACCCAAAGCTTCAGCTACTTACCCACTGGTAAATCTCAACTTCATAGTCTGGTGAAGACCTCCTGCCTGAGCTCTGTGTCAGTGTTTCTGACTGTCTCCAGATGTTTTAGCTTGCCTGCATCATGAGAACCCCAAATGTGACTAGTCTAAAAATGGAACTCCTCAGCTTCACCCTCTCATTCCAAAACCACTTCTCCTTATTGTCTTTGTCTTGTGAATATAGCACCACCACGCATTCAGGCCCTCAACCCCCAAACCCAGGAGTCATCCCGACAGCATCCCCTGAATGCTACCTGTGCAACCAATCACCGCGCCTCATCTATGCTACCTCCTAAGCATCTCTTCAGTCCTTCCTGTCCTCTCTCTCACCGTGATACCCTGTGGGTGGCACTTTCCCTCAAGTTGTCATGCTTTTGCTTCTGAGCACACTGTTTCTTTGCCTAGAAAACTCTCCTCATCATGTCACCTTTCTCCAGCAATTATCAAATATAGCTTCCTGAGATTTTCAATTCAGATATCGCCTTTTTTATCATGTGTTCCTTGACCTCTGCCTCTCCTTCCACTGCCCCATGCCATACCCATGTAGAGTGAGGTACACCTTATCTTAACTTTCCTGTCACCGTGCAGGACTTGCCTCCAGCACTCTCCACATTGCCTGCCATTCACTTAGTAACCTCACTTATCACTTTGTTTCTAGTATATGGCCCAGAACTTAAAATCATTCAACATGTGTTTCAACAGACGGACAGCTCTCCAATGTAAAGCACACAGTCTCATGCAGTCCTGTGTTTAAAGGTATAACTCAACCTGACTATATAGTCAAGCTTTAAATTCCAGGAAAGTGTACAATAAAATAATCTTGCTTTATTAAGGTGAAGTTTGTTTACCACTGAAGCAATTCCAACTTACCCCACCCATCTCCTCTTATATCCCTAAGGGTGGAATGCGTGTGCGATACTAAGACCTGGGCATGGGAGTCGGGTGGAGGATGGAACTGAGTGAGTCTGCTTTGCAGTCTTCGGCCTCACTCCTCTCTAGCTTTCATTAAGGCCTGGCCATTTCATTGATTCTTGAGCTGTGGGTTTTGGCTTCTGTCGCAAGATGTGGAAAATATCCATGGACTCACTGTGATCTTCTGATCTGTCCTCATAACCACTGCAAGACCTTTCTGGTCTGTCAGCAGCCCCCGTCCTCTTCCCTCCCCCAGCTCAGGAACTCTGCCTTGCTTTACCCATGCCACACTAAGTTGTAGGGACAGAAAAAAAAATTTGAACAAAATCAAGGCTCTTTTAAATTAAAACATTGGCTTTCAGACTTTTATGACTTAAAAATTCTATTTCTGAAACTAATAACTCAAATCGTCTTTGTTCTGGATAAGTTCGACCTTACCCCAAAGTAATGCATTCCACTAGATTTGTGAGGGGAGAACCTTGAGGCAACAGGAAAGATAATGGGGAAGGTGAACCAAATCTCTAAAATTTACTATCGATGAAAGTAGGAATGAGTAGCATTTATTTTGTGCTTAGTATGTGCTGGGTTCATAGAGTGTAAGGGTGAAAACCAGACAGCCTTTGACCTCTGGGTGCTGTCAATGGTGGGAGGCATAGATACATACACAAGTCAGAGTACTTCACATTAGAATAATTTGGAGTAGGTTTTAAAAATACCCATGCCTATGATTTGATCTTCAGGGTATTGA